AAACCCCTTGATAAGTCTAGACTGTGACCTGGAAATTTAGTTCAATGAGTAAGAAATTGGGAGTATTAACTATGGAGTTCAGTGGCACATTAGAGCCTTATAAGCCACACACAACATGTTGAGACTTCACAGCCACATGACATTGTGTTTTATATTGGATACTGATTGGTAACACCCATTCAGTGTCCCCACTGATCCCAGTTCAACACTGTTAGGCTGCAATTCAAAGTATTGCACCTTTAACAGAATGTATAGAGGGATTCTGAAGCATCAGTGCAGGATACTTAGCATTTTTCACATGCTTCAACCCTTGAAACAGTATGTATTTTAGTTCTATTCATTGTAGAAATTTACAAATGCTGCCACACTCTGACCCAAACCAGACAGAGGAGTATGTCTTTATTTCCTCAAACACAGGATGATGATGCTCTAATCTTACACATTAGAAAAACTGAGGAAATGTCACATTTCCCATAAAAGACAACAAAACCCAGCTCTTGCCCTGGGACAGAAGCAGATGTAGGAATGCTCTGTCTTGTGATAAATCAAAATTCCTGTTTTCATGTAGATAATTTCCCCAACCATTCACTTCTGTAGGTTCTGACTTTGTAGGTGCCACAAGTGCTTTGAGGGTACTTTTTTTTCTAGAAGATTACTTATCACAGGGAAGCTGTGCACAGAGCTCATTTCTTGAAATTGATGATGGCAGCCAAATGTGGCCAAGGCTATCCCAAAGCACAGGAGGATGCAAGTAGACTGTGTCAAAAGTTGTTTCTTCTAAATGCACTTGGATTTCATCACTCCTGAAGTGATCAAATCTGGCACTTCATGCCACATGTCACAAAAATGAACCAGTTCTGTCCAAGTGGAAACACTGATTCCTGATCCCAGACACTGTTGAGGGTTGCTAACACTATATGTATTTTGACCAGCAATACTAGAAATTAATTCCTTTTTAATTACAATTATATTCATTGTCAGTGATCTATGCGTGATCATCATCACAAAACTTGGTTTCATCACAGCCCTCTTCCCTGAGAATAAACCCCAGAACAGTTAATAGGAATGAGCACATATTGAATCCTTGACTGCCCAGAATTACCAACCAGCATGCAGGGTAAAACACTGGATAGTTAGAAGACATCAAAGCATGCCCCATGCAAGAATTGCACTGTAAATGAAGAGAAGATACTTTTATTAGATTTGGATCAATAAAACAGAACAATCTAAGCACAGTTCAAGGCCTCAGCTGGCTCTCAGCAAGGACTTGTGAGAGGCCACCAGTTGTTAAGAGTAAATGCAAAGAGGCTGCAGATGAACTGGCATATTTTAATTTGTAGGTGCTAATCTATAGCAAGACTTCATGTTAGTTGAGCCTTTGCTTCTTTGCTTTTGTGAAGACACTACTGTTGTTATATTGTATCTTCTAATTGCTTTAAAACTGTTAAAAGCTTGAAAGAAAAAAAAAGTATTGCTCCAAATCACACCCTTTCAACTTTGCTTTTGGAGAAATAAAGGACATACCTTTTTTATTCGGGCAGCAGAGAAACTGACTGTATCACTTTAAAAATCAGTGCTCTAGATGTTCAAAGATAAATTCAACACAAAATACAAAGTCTCAGACTGCAATGATCGGTAAGGATAAGAGTATAATGCACATGAGAAACAGCACCAAAAATGTAAGTATCTCTGCTCACGGGATTTGGCTTTTGGTGCAAAAACACCTTGATGGAGGAACTCAGCTTCTCACTTCATCCTAATTAACTACCTGCCAAATCTGTGCCTTCTGATGCAGCAGCGAATGTTGTCTTCTCTGCAGAAGCACTAGCAGCAGATGCACTCTAAATTCAATGTCTTTAATATCAGAAAAAAACATCAGGGTTTATCTTAAGAATGTAACTAAATTTGAAATTTGCA